TGTTTTGTATTCACACCATGTACTCTTAGGCCTATAAATAGCTTTCCATTCATTTGTAAAAGAAACACAATTCACTTTGTTTAATCAAATATTTGTGAGAGTTTCTCTCTTTAGTTCTTAAGTGAACTTTATCGACTTATCAAGCTTATGCTTGTGGCGTCACCCCTATCTATATCACTCTGATACTTCTGGTTCCTATCTCTTTATAGATAGTGGGTCAAAGTCCTTGTTTACCATCCCTTAAAGAAGCAATATAAAGTCAAGGTCTTTGTTCTTTAACATTGGTTCTTCTTTGAGTCTTCTTTGAGATACTACTTTTCATATTCATCTCCATCACCTTCATTCTACTTCCATTACCATACTTCATCATTTCCTTTAAACATATCACCAACTTATATATATTTTCCGCTGCCATATTTATCTTTCCATTTCATTACTTTCATTTAACCATTTTTTTAGCTTTCTTGTTTGTGCAGGACACTTGTTGCTTTCCTAGATCGAAACAATCAAAGGTACAACCTTGACTTCACCATCCATCGAACTGAGGCTGGGTTGAACTGTATCATATGGTAATCAGAGCTAAGGAGGATTGCAACAAGAACAAGCAAAAGCAACATCCTACCATTCAATAAAAAGAAAATCAAAAAGAGAAATGCAAAAAAAAATCAGCAAGTTAATCCCAACATCAACAAGGGATTCCAAGTGAAGAAAAACAAAAGAAAGGAAACAAAGAAAGGAAAATGCAAAGAGGTGCCAAAGGTGACAAGCAACATCATTATTCCAACCGATCCTAAAGAAGTCTTCAAGACCTTTGATTGTTTCTTCTAGGAAGGTGGTGAGTATATTTGCATAGTAAGTGAACCTTTCTTTCTTTTTATTCCTTTTACAAGACCACCCTTCATTATTTAATCTTTCTACCTTTCTATTTTTTCCTCTACACTAACAAATTTTTCAGCCGACGTCCATAGCACTTGAAAGGTCTCGAGTTAGTTATTTTAAGAACTTTACAAGAGAGGAACGAGTGGAAAAAGGCTATTCGAGTGTGTGAGATCAGAAGGGGAATTACAAAAGCCAAAGACATATTCCCGAGTGACACACGAGTGCTTGAGAGGAGTGACATCACAATGTATTTTTGGAGTGACCGTTAGGTTTTGTTGTATGAAATTTGGTAAGGTCCTAATTTTCACATTTCAAATTTTTACTAACAATGTTATTTGATCTTTCCTCTTCCCAAGCAATGGAGAACATTCAACAAAGAGAGAATGCATTTCATACTCGTTGCCATGTAAACGGTAAAGATGGCAAAGTATGTCTTGTAGCCATTGATAGTGGAAGTTGTACAAACATTGCAAGCACATACATGGTCAAGAAGTTGGGACTTACAATATTCAAACATCCCAACCCATACATTTTGCAAGGATTAAATGAAGATGAAGAGTTCAAAGTCATAGAGCAAGTACTTGTGCCCTTTTCAATTGGGAGATATGAAGATGAAGTCTTTTGTGATGTTGCCTCCATTAATTCAAGCCATCTTCTTTTCGGTCGACCTTGGCAGTTTGATAAACAAGCATTGTATGATGGGTTTTCCAATAAGTATTCATTCCAACATCAAGGAAGAAGAATCACATTGGTACCAATGTTGCCAAATCAAGTGCATGAAGACCAAACTCAACTGAAGAAAAACATTGAAGAACATCATGAGAAAAACAAGACATTTGGAGTTGAAAATAAGAGTGTGGTTTTTCATGAGAAAGCCATTAGAGTAATTGAAGATGAGAGTAAGAGCATTGAGAATGAAGATGAGTGTGTTGAAAAACATGAGCATGAGAGAAAAGAATGTGAGGAGAAGGAAGTTTTACTTTATACTAATCAATATTTTCTTCCTATTCTTTCATTTGATTTGCAGGTTATTCCAAAGGACATACCATTGCAAATTGATGAATCACATTTTTCCATTGAAGTTCCAAAAGTTGTAACATTTGGTATTCCAAGGCATGTGCTCTTTGACATTCGAAGTATGTTCATTCTACATTCAAAGTTCAAACAGCCTTATGAAAGGGAAGTTTCAACGAACCAAATTCCATTCATGAACTTTAATGAATCTTGTACATTCATTCACATTGTTAATGATGTTTCATGTTCTATCTTATTTCTATTTTGCAGCACATTGAATCATTTACATGGAAGTGTTATTGCTTGTGATCATCAATTCAAGGAAAAGAAACGAGCATTATCCAATTATTCAAGATTCATAATGTGGAAGGGTACAAAGTATAAAGTTGGCATGCCTTACCTACTTGAAGGATTCAAAGAAATTCATGCATACCCTAATAGGCATAATGATCTTCATTCATCCTTTCTTACACCAATGGATCAATCAATGACAAAAGCCTTCGATTTGAGGACAAATCGCTCTAAAGAATGGGGGATGATGCGATCATGCCAAGGACCAAACTTCTTCAACACATGATCACTTCATGGACATTCTACCTTGTTGATTCTAAGGGAGTCTTGCCTTATTTTATTATTTATTTACTTATTTATCAATTACATGTCATGTGAATATGTTTATCTTATTCTTAATTATGCTTAAATGTTATATGCTGCCATTTATATGTATAATATATGATATAAATGCATGACTTATTAATTCACATCTTTCTATAACTCATTCAATGCATATGCATTCATAGTTAGCTCATTTGCATTCATAACATAGGTGGCAGAATGCATTCATAATTATAATAGCTCAATTCCTATCTAATTATTTGTTTACATACTTTGTCTAGGTACATTGGATGCTAAGTAAACTAAAGGCAATTAAAGAGTTGGATGGACAGTTCACGTCAGTAAGATTGATCTACATTTTTGAACATGTTCCAAGCATCTTTGGGTGATTAAGTCTCTTAACATTTAATCCCCTATCTAGTAGCTTTCCAACACATTTTTAATCACATTAATATGATATCGGGATCTTGAGATATGTCCATATTACTGAAGACAGTGCAGGCTGGAAATTAATACGGGATTTGCAACCATTCATCTCCTTCAAAGGACTTATGCATGGGAGGAATTAATGAAGACATGCATGGACGAGAAAAGAATATTAAAATGAATCAGAACATTTGTGAGGAGGTGCAAGGATTCATTCAAAGGTTTTTAAATTCATCCATTCATGCAAGAAGCCAAATAGTCATGTTCACACAAGGGGGAAGAATTTCAGCCAAGATACATTCATGAACATTCATCCATAGAAGAAAAATCAACAAGTTCACACAAGGTGGGATGAATTCGGCCAAAGGATGTATTCCATTAAAAGATGAATATCCATTCATCAAAATTCATTCACCTAAGCCATGCTTTGTATCTACTTAAAGTATGAACACTCATCCATGAAGGTTCACTCATTAAATGTTTTGTATTCACACCATGCACTCTTAGGCCTATAAATAGCTTTCCATTCATTTGTAAAAGAAACCCAATTCACTTTGTTTAATCAAATATTTGTGAGAGTTTCTCTCTTTAGTTCTTAAGTGAACTTTATCGACTTATCAAGCTTATTCTTGTGGCGTCACCCCTATCTATATCACCCTGATACTTCTGGTTCCTATCTCTTTATAGATAGTGGGTCAAAGTCCTTATTTACCATCCCTTAAAGAAGCAATATAAAGTCTGAGTCTTTGTTCTTTAACATTGGTTCTTCTTTTAGTCTTCTTTGAGATACTACTTTTCATATTCATCTCCATCACCTTCATTCTACTTCCATTACCATACTTCATCATTTCCTTTAAACATATCACCAACTTATATATATTTTCCGCTGCCATATTTATCTTTCCATTTCATTACTTTCATTTAACCATTTTTTTAGCTTTCTTGTTTGTGCAGGTTACTTGTTGCTTTCCTAGATCGAAACAATCAAAGGTACAACCTTGACTTCACCATCCATCCAAGTGAGGCTAGGTTGAACTGTGTCACCCTTTCTTTTCACCTTGATACTTCTTATTCCTAGTTCTTATAACTAGTGGGTTAAAGTCCTTAATACCACCCCTTAAAGAAGCAATATAAAGTCTGGGTCTTTGCTCTCTATAGCATTGGTTCTTCTTTGAGACTTCTTCAAAATAATATCCTCACTACCATCCCTTTGTTTCATAGCCATAACCCATAGCCATTTCAATCATCTTCCGCTTCCATCTCTCATTTAATCAGCCCACCTATTCACCCATACGTTTACCACCCTTAACCATCTCTTTTTGAGCCATTTACTTATGCAGGTTGTTTACTTCCTTCCTAGATCCACAATCAATTTGTTAAGGTATAAGTGTCGTACCTCAAGTGGCATCAGGAGCCTTACATCAAATCCCGAGGAAACGATGGAACTTGGGGGATGTGTGTGGATTGTAGAGCTGTAATCCATATCCCTATCAAATATAGGCATCCTATACCTCGGTTGGATGATACGCTTGATGAACTTAGTGGAGCTAGTATATTCTCCAAAATTGATTTGAAGAGTGGCTACCACCATATTAGGATGAGGGAAGGAGATGAGTGAAAAATCGCGTGCAAAACAAAACAAGGTTTATATGAGTGGTTAGTCATGCCTTTTGGCTTAACTAATGCTCCTAGTACCTTTATACGTCTAATAAACCATGTCCTTCGGCCTTACATCGGTAAGTTTTGTGTTGTTTATTTTGATGACATCCTGATTTACAGTAAATCCTTGAACGAACATGTTGAACATTTAAGGGCTATCTTAAGCACTTTGAGAGACGGACACTTATATGATAACCTCTAAAACTGTGCTTTTTGTACTGACCAAGTTACTTTCTTAGGTTTCATTGTAAGTTCACAGGGACTAGCAGTGGATCCAGAAAAGATTAAGGCAATTCAAGAATGACCAGAACCAATCAACGTCAGTCAAGTTCAGAGCTTTATTGGATTAGCCAGTTTTTTATAGGAGGTTTGTACCAAATTTCAGTTCTATTGTTTCCCCTTGACAGGGATTATTAAGAAGAATTCAAACTTCTCTTGGGGCAAAGAGCAAGATGAAGCATTCAAGGAACTCAAGGATTGCTTGACTAAGGCTCCCTTATTAGCCTTGCCAAACTTTGAGAAAACATTTGAAGTCGAATGTGACGCCTCCAGAATTGGGATTGGAGCTGTTATGAGTCAATAGGGAAAACCAATCGCTTACTTTAGCGAAAAGCTAAATGGTGCGACCTTGAACTACCCAATCTATGATAAAGAGATGTACGCACTTATTCGAACATTGGAAACGTGACATCACAACTTATTGCCAAGGGAATTTGTTATACACACTGATCATGAAGCGTTAAAACACATCAAGGGACAACACAAACTCAACAAGAGACATAACAAATGGGTCGAGTTCCTTGAAACATTTCCCTATGTTATCCGCTACAAGAAAGGAAAAGATAATATTGTGGCAGATGCTCTTTCATGCAGGTATGCATTACTTAACACTTTGGATTCCAAACTCCTTGGTTTTTCATTCCTTAAAGAACATTATGCTACTGACTTGGACTTTGGAGAAAGGTATAAGTTATGTGAAACATGTGCTTATGACAAATATTATCAGCATGATAGGTATCTTTTCAAGGAATGAAGACTTTGTATCCCACATGGTTCTATGCGAGAAGTGTTAACCAAAGAAGCACATGAAGGGGGACTTTTGGGACATTTTGGCATTGAAAAGACACTTAACATCTTGAAATAAAACCTCTTTTGGCCAAAGATGAAAAGGTACGTTGAAAAGGTATGTGAAAGGTGTCTAGTGTGTAAAATGGCGAAATCAAAGGTCATGCCTCATGGGTTGTACATGCCATTACCTATACCAACTATGCCATGGGTAGATATCTCTATGGATTTTGTTTTGGGATTACCTCGAACCAAAAATGGAAAGGATGCGATATATGTGGTGGTTGACCGATTTTCCAAGATGGCTCATTTTATACCCTGTAACAAAACCGATGATGTTGTTCACATTGTAAACTTATTCTTTAAAGAAGTGGTAAGGTTACATGGACTTCCTCGAACCATTGTATCGGATAGAGATGTCAAATTTTTTAGGCACTTTTGGAGAACCTTGTGGAGTAAAATTGGTACAAAACTACTCTTCTCTACTACTTGCCATCCTCAAACGGATGGACAAACTGAAGTAGTCAATTGAGTTTTGTCAACATTACTTAGATCCATAATCAAGAAGAACATCAAGACTTGGGAGGAATGTCTACCACACGTGGAGTTTGCCTATAATCGAACCAAGTATTCCACAACAAAATATTTTCCATTTGAGGTAGTGTATGGTTTCAATCCATTAACTCCTTTAGACTTACTTCCTTTACCTTGTGATCAAATAGTGAACAGAGATGGAAAAGACAAGGCAGAATTTATTAAAAGGCTCCAACAACAAGTCAAGGACAATATTGAAAGGAGAACTATACAAAATGAGCAGCAACCAAACAAGGGAAGGAAAAAGGTAATCTTTGATGTAGGAGATTGGGTTTGGGTACACTTTAGAAAAGAGCGGTTTCCAAATCAAAGGAAGTCTAATTTATTACCCCGAGGAGATGGCCCGTTCCAGATTGTGGAAAAGATCAATGACAATGCATATAAACTGGAGTTGCCCGGTGAGTCTGGTGGCGTCAGTGCTTCGTTCAACATTACAGATTTGACGCCCTTTAAAGATGGAGACAATTTGGGGATAAATCGCTTTAAAGAATAGGGGGATGATGTGATCACGTCCACCTCAGACCCAGAAGTCATGCCACCAGGTCCCATTACTTGATCAAGGGCCAAATAATTCAAGGAAATACTCTTAACTAAGTGCCTTGAAAGCTTTAATTCATTTGATAAATTGACACCCTCCGACGTTAAGTTACATAATGTCTTAATAGTTAATAACTTAGTATGAGCACTTCGTGCATCTTGTTATTTAGCATAACTAGGTATATTTGCATTTTGCATTCATTTGAGCATATTTTAATTAGCATATGCATTCGTGTGACTCAATGCATCCATTTTAGTACCTATAATTTGTCACGTGTTGTTCATGTTTGCATTCATTCTTGCATCTAGCATTTTCACGTGTAGTTAATATTGTTTGAAGTTAATAAAAATGCAAGTCAAGTTTCATAATCAATGGCACGACAAAAAGTACTTATTCAAATCAGAACTATATCTTTTAAATAACTTGCATATTGCATGTGTAGGAACATGTAGAAGCTGCCCCATGCTGGACTGTTTAATGGAGCATTTTCAAGACTTTTCCAGCTCACAAAACATGGCACAAGGGTTATTAAAATATGGCAAACATTTGGCAGCATGTTCAAGCACTTAAGGGAACAAGAATGATTCACCAACCATTCAGTAATTCACGACAGAATGTGAGCATTTGAGAAGAGTGGATTCGGCTGGAAATGCACCACCAACCTTTGTCTTTGATTAAACAATTTTTCCACTTACTTGAACCCTAAGATGAAGACAACCCACGTGTGTTTGTTGTTGCAAATCATACATACCATTGCACTATGAAACATCCCATGTGCATTAGAAAACAATGCACTACAAACAGCCCATGTGCATGGAAGATTGCTTGTCTCCACTTAACTTTGTTTCCACCAGCCATCACTAGAAGGATCCGGCCAAAGAACATATCAACTACATATGACCGAAATCATGCATGAAAATGTGCTTAAATTAAGATTGTTTATGTGCCACATCAACAAGCACCATGAGACCATGCAATTTGTAACATTTAGCCATGTATTTTGTAACCTACGGCCATGCATGTTCAAGTCCTATAAAATGGACCTTCATATTGCATTGTAATTTTGAACTTTGAATTGAAATTAAACTTGAGAGTTTTCTCTTATTAAGTCCTGTGTGACTTTTATCGACTTATCAAGTAACTTGTTACTTGTGGGGTCATTTGTTTTCACCTTGATACTTGTGGTTCCTATCTCTTTATAGATAGCGGCTCAAAGTGCTATTTACCATCCCTTAGAACGATTTGTAAGGCTGGGTCTTTGCTCTTTATAGCACTGGTTCTTCCTTAGTTATTCTAAGATACTATCCATTCCTTATTTACCATCCCTTATTGAAGCAATATAAAGTATGGGTATTTGTTCTTTAACATTGGTTCTTCTTTGAGTCTTCCTTAAGATACTACCATATTCACCATTCCTTATTATGTTATCCATATTATTACCACAACCATGTCTTTCGCTACCATCTCTTAACTGACCATGTTACCATCATATTTACCACCTTAATCTATCCATTTCTTACCATTATCTTATGCAGGTTATTTTGCTTCCTTCCTAGATCCACAATCAATCGTTAAGGTGGAAACACCTTATATCACCTTGTTTGGCCCCTTAGAACTTTTAGGTTTTCTTATCGCCTTTGCTAGTAATCAAACTCCGATACGAACTGTGGAAGACTACTTGGTAAATTGATTTTTAAAGAGTACAAGATCGGCTTACTTGCGTCTCGTTGTGTTACTTTCTTGGTGTGACTTGTGAGGTTTCTTGCTTTGTTGAATTTTCTTTATTTTATTTTTATTTTACTTTAAAATTTTCTTTTGAGTGTTATGATTTTAGAATAGGTGACAATAACATCAAGACACTTGCCCGACTCACGACTCAAGTTGAAAGATTTGATGAAACCGTGAGAGAACTACAAGAACAACAACTGGAGCTACCAAACCAAAATCCAAGACCAAACCATGCTAAACTTTTGGTACCCATACGAGAACAACCACGTTTCCAAGCACCCAAACTCTTTGCAAAACCAAAGTCAATGATCTCGTATTTCAAAGGAGACAACGATCCGGACAGGTACATCGATTGGGAAGGAAAAGTTGATCTCATGTTCTCATACCATGACTACCCCCAAGCTAAACAAGTTCCCCTGATCACCATGCAATTCGAAGGATTTGCTCGAACTTGGTGGATGCAAACAAGGAAAAAGATCCAGAACTTCCAGATTCCAACAATCACTTCTTGGACCAACCTCAAACAAACTATGAGGAAGCGATTCCTACCGAGACATTATACACGAGAAGTTAAACTACGACTACACTGACTTCGACAAGGTAGAAGTTCAATTGAAGACTACTACAAGGACATTCAGTCCTTACTCAATAGGGCTAACATAACCGAAAAAGAAGAGGTCACCGTGTCAAGATTCGTCGTCAACTTGAACTCAAACATCACTGATCTTCTTGATCTCCATGGATACGAAAACCTTAAAGATACACTAAAGAAAGTAATGACAATTGAAGCACAAATCCAAAGGAAATTCTGATTAAGAGAACATTACCAAGGTACTTCATCCTCTTACCAAGGTAATCCTTCAAATCCTTCCTCCACTTCTACTCCATCTTCTCTAAAAAAATCCAAGAGATGACAAACCTGACAAGGAGAAAGAACGACCAACAAAGAGTGAAGCACTTCCAGCCCCTAATGATCAAATGATAATTTGTGAGGAGGTAGGAAAGCAAAAAAAGAAAAAACTAAGAAAGAGGCAAAAGCAAAAGAGGTCACTAGTTATAAAATCCAAAAGATTAATGACCTATGGGAGGTGAGTGAACCTAATTGTGAGAAGAAAAGAGTGATTTAAAATCTATGTGTGAGCACAAAAGAATTAAGAGAGGACCTTATTTACAAACAACCTTCCATCCTTTTTTTTAGGGAATCAATTGGTTCGATTTCTAACATTAACAAGGATTTGCCTAGTGTGTTTTCATCTTTGTTACAGGATTTTCGAGAAGTGTTAGGTGATCTACCAAACGAATTACCACCGAAAAGAGGAAAATAACACCAAACCAATCTAATTCAAGGTTTCATTCTACCTCATCAAATATACAATATCGAAGAAACCAAAGAGTTAGATTTGTTACAAAAATGCTACATCCATGAAAGCCTTAGTCGTGATGCCATCTTAATGACGAAACATGACTTAAACAACTCTACATGCTTAATAGTTCGTGCACAGGGGATCCATGTAAATGATGAGAAAGTAAAAGCAATACAAGACTGGCCCACACCATCTTCTATTGCCAAGAGTTGTCGAATAGTGCTAGGTGACCCTATTGATGGGTTACCACCTGAAAGCCCTAATCACTATGTCATATCAATGAAGAGTCATGAT